ACAAAGGAAATTCTGGCTGATTTTGCTAACAATAAACGTAACTTCTGTTTAAATTCGCAAAATCATTTATAAGAGGGTAAATTTGTATGCTACGATCAATATTAACAACATAATTGAACATACCTTGGAGCAGACATAAGTGTTTTTTGTTATCCTGTCGACGTTGAGTTGTTTGTGGGGGCGATTACACGCCTTGATCCACCGTCGACATTTGTCAATATTTGTTTTAGGTTTAGGGAATGGGTAAAATATCACCCCTTTATTCCGGGCCGGATACCGACTGTCACTGTTGCAAAGTCCGAATGCACATCTTTTAACCATAACAATCGTATGAATGTGTTGACCTACTGTACAGTAGTAGTTTTGTTTGTCTAACCTTCCGCCACGCAACTTTTGGTGACGCTTTCTCTACGTCATACCTTTTATCTGATTGGTCAGGTCAGTTATCCCGGGAAAATTGGCGATTCGCGAATTGCCATAAATAAAATATCTTTACTTTTCTACAACTCCTAAAACCATTTTCTCTTTGGAGACCCTTGGAGACTTTTTAGGTCAATTCCCTTTTCCAGGCTTATCATGAGCATTTGGTGACCTGAAAATTATAAATACAGACATTAGACTATGTTTAAAAGAATAGTCACTGTGGTGCTTATTTTTCTTTTTGAATGAATTCCAAATATTACCAGGTAATACATAATGTTTTATCTTTCAAATTTCTTAAAAAAAAAAACAAAACATGAGGATCAGAGTATTTTACTGTGTGCGGGGAGGTATTCGGAGGAATTCCTGTGATCAACAGCATACGACTGGACACAGAGGGGGTACTCAGAGTAATGGCTGCATCTGACACAGAAGGGGTACTCAGAGTAATGGCTGCATCTGACACAGAGGGGGTAGTCAGAGTAATGGCTGCATCTGACACAGAGGGGGTACTCAGAGTAATGGCTGCATCTGACACAGAGGGGGTAGTCAGAGTAATGGCTGCATCTGACACAGAGGGGGTACTCAGAGTAATGGCTGCATCTGACACAGAGGGGGTAGTCAGAGTAATGGCTGCATCTGACACAGAGGGGGTACTCAGAGTAATGGCTGCATCTGATACAGCGTCATTCAAAAAAAGTCTTCTTGAATCTCAAGCACCTGTAAGAACACACACTCACTTAGGTTTGGTGAAGAGGAATATATTTTTCAACTTTTGATTTAACTTCATGAGAAAATTGAATCCATAATTTTGAAAATGCATACTTTTCCTTCAATTGTAACCTGAATCAACAAAACTATTTTAAACACAAGCTTTAAAATAACTACCTGAGGATTTTGGATACAGTGACAGCTCTGTGTAACCACAGTATATCCTCCATTTTGACATTAGTTCCACTAGGATCCCCCTTTTCAGGATCACTCCCGGCAGTGGTCATGGAAGTCCCAGAGATGGAGGGGAAGCAGAGGCCACTGAGGCCGAGGAAGAAGACGGAGTCACATCCGAGGAAGACGCCGGGCTCTGAGACATAAGGAGTTGCTCTCACTTGTACACTGAGCAGGGGTGGATCTCTTGGGCACGGCTCCTCCGCTGAGTAGTGGTGGATCTCTTGGGCACGGCTCCTCCGCTGAGCAGGGGTGGATCTCTTGGGCTTGGCTCCTCCGCTGAGTAGTGGTGGATCTCTTGGGCACGGCTCCTCCGCTGAGCAGTGGTGGATCTCTTGGGCACGGCTCCTCCTCTCTCTTTATCTCTTTTTGCTTTGAGTTTCTTCCTCTTGGCAGAAGATGTGGGACTGCTGAGGGGATGTAGAGAAGAAGAGGATGCAGTCTCCAGAGTTGAGGATGAGGAGGAGGACTGAGTTCTGAGACTGGGAGGAGGTTTGAATCAATCCTCATATCGCAACTCTGCCACCGCCAAATTAACCTCCATCAGAGCATGGAAATATGTGGAGAATCTACCTTTGTCTGATACACCAATAACAATTCCTGTTTCACTCACTAAAGTACCGGACTGCCGTCCTAGAAAAGTAAACAAATCTTCTTTCCTATGTGATATGAATAGTCCTCATATGTATCTACATATCAAAAAAGTTTCAGATTTTTTACAAACAGCCATGACAACATAAAATATACAGTATAATCGAAAATTTGCATATGTACACAATTATCATACATAAAAGTCAGCCATTTTGGCCCCACCCTAGCCCTGGAGGTCATTATTTGAAAAAACCTAAATCTACACTACCTGAGGATGATTTCACATGAGTTTCATCTTTCCTGGCCCAGTGGTTCTTGAGTAGAAGATTTTTAAAGATTTTTCCAATATATTCCTATGTAAAACTTTGATCGGCCATTTTGGCCCCACCCTAGCCCCGGGGGTCATGATTTGAACAAACTTGAATCTACACTACCTGAGGATGATTTCACATGAGTTTCATCTTTCCTGGCATAGTGGTTCTTGAGAAGAAGATTTTTTATAAATGCCATTAATTTTTTCTCTAATTCTGCTTGGAAAAGGATTTGGACTTTTATTTGAACAAACTTGAATACCCTTTACCCAAGGATACTTTGTAGCAAGTTTGGTTGAAATTGGCACAGTGGTTCTTGAGAAGATGAAAATGTGAAAAGTTTACAATGATGACAACGACGACGACATAATGACAACACAAGACAAATTTCGATCAGAAAAGCTCACTTAAGTCTTTGGCTCAGATGAGCTAAAAAGTCATTCAATTCATTGTTGAACATAAGATGTAGCAATAGAGAAAATGTGCCTACTCTTTCTTTGTAACCTTGGAGTCCGTTTTACAGGACACCCAGCCCCTGGAAAGTGGGGTTCTGTGTTAACCTTGACCTCTCTTACAGGAAATTCTTCATAGGGAAACATCTCAGGGGCAGTCTGAAATAAAAACAAACGAGAATTTGTAACAAATTAATACTATCTCTTTTAAAAAGTATCAGCATTATGTGCTCTTTCACCTCGATATTTCACCTGGACCTGTCCTGAAGTTTTGTCATTGACCTTCAGTTTGCACAAAATAAAAGGCGTTGTGAAAAAAATATGAATTCATGCATGAATTTCTTTTAGACTATGAAATATGTTTACAATTTAGATTTTCTTAATGAAATACATTAAAGGTGTTTAATAAAATACCTGGAAGCATAATTATGCAGATCTGGGTTGTCAATTCAATCAAATAATCCTCTCCTTGATTGGCAGCTCTAGCAATGGTGACAGCCAGCTCTCTCTTTAATATAGGGAAAAGAGTAACAATTATTTTTCCATAGAACTCTATACAAATCTTAGGCCCTCTCAGTACTTTACTTTGACAATTTCAGAAAAATCCTTAGCATCATTTCAAACTTCGTTCTAAGCCCTAACAAAAAATACTGAAAATAATATATGGTCCCATGACGTTTATAGGTCAAAATCAAAATCAACCCCCACTCCTAAAATCTTCCTTGGTAATTCTATACTTTCTGTAATATTCCCTCATCCCATCATTTATCTTAAACGTCATTAATTTTACTTTAAAATGAAAACAATTAAATACCTGATTTCAGCCAATGGCGTAACGCCTACCCATTCAGTATTCAGTTTAATGTTCCATAACAAACAAAGCCATGTGTGCATCCGTGGATTTGGTGCCCTCATTCCTATACTTACATACTTACCTGTCCCAGAATTAGTCAATTGTGGTTATTTCAAAGACACCTACCTGTGAACATGTATGAAATTTGAGTCCTGTGACTTCAGTGTATTGGATACTGTGACCATCTCAAATGATGACACCTCACTGCTTCCACCACAATCAACAGAGTGAATAACTTTCTGACCGGTGATAGTATTTGGCTATATTTATGACTGTAATGAATAAATTATTTGTTCAATGAAATGTTTTTGTTTTATGATATTAATAAAGTGATATTAAGTCAAATTGAGTCAATTTTTTCTGGTGTAACCGGAATTCGCTACATGGTATCAATGCAATTTAGGAAATTCCACGATACCAGTGTAGTGAAAATGACCGTATGAAAATACCTCTTTAAAATCACATACTTTCTTTATTAATAATAGTACTTCGCGTTTTATTCCAATTTCTTACTAACCAATAAACCTCTTGATTTTCAAATAGTCACGAAAGTGACTTACTAACCCAAGAATTTTAATAACAAGAATTAGCAAATTAACAAATATTTATTATAGTCACAAATATATTTTATCAACAGCACAAGAATATTTACAACAAAAACTGATGTACTAACGACCTTATACTTATAAGCCTCAATAAAAATAAGTGCCTACCTAACAAATGTACAATGTCCAGAGCCCGTCCTACCCAAAGCTAAGTCCGAATGAAAGTGACCCACCCCTGCACGAAAAATCTACTATGCCTAACCTAACCGGTTTACCAAAAATAGAAATAAGGAACTGGAAAATGGATGTAAAAATAAGGAAAACAAAAGGATAATGGTGAACGATTTGAACAAGACAGAGACATGGACCGGGATCCACCTCTCTAATCAAAAAGTGAGCTGGTACGAACCTTTGAGAAGGTTCCAGACCAACTGATCTAATCGTGAAATACTGGACTTTAAATACACCGCGGACTGAAGGTGTGTCTCTCTTATCCAATCAAAATCTACATTCTGTTTATAACCCATACAAGGACATTAACCAAATCACTGTATAAAGCTAGAAAGTTTCCGAATGTATACCAAACGATCGTAACCAATAAGAATTATCGTTATTTACTTACTATGTAAAATCCAATCCTACCACACTCCCCCCACCTCAAAACCGAAATATCTTAAAAAGATATTGAGGGTAAAATGTGTAGGTAAAATTTCAAAAATATCCTGGTAGTACATGAACAATAGTTTAACATTTCAATTTTTTTTAAAAGACACATTTAATAAATTGTATTCAAAACTTTCAATTAACAGTTAATAAGATTAATGTTCACTGGTTTCACATTTCATCTGGGTAGAATCATCACGGAATCTAAGGCGGTTGATCAATGCGCAACATGAGGAACATAATTCTTTTCAAATATTTCAGAACACCTTTACATAAATATTCACAATATTTCTCGACTGATTTCACATCACATCACTTCACTTCATATGACATCACAAATCTTACACATAATTAATCGCACAAGTCGAACACGACGACCATTCTCCATGAATCACTGTCGTGCCGAAGACTCCAAGGCTCCTCCAATATTGAACAATGATGCGTTGATTCCTTTTCAGAAGAAAGTGTTACTCTTGTACCTCCTCCTGTAGATATTTGCTACCAGTTTCGCTGGAGATCATCAACTTCACTACAAGTACATATACTTCTCCAAAACGTCCATACTAAATAGACAAAAGAAAAGAGTGAGTAATAATGCATAAAATCCAAGAAAAAAAATATCTGAAATATAAAGCAGGGGCCCGTTTTGCAAAAGAACTTACGACTAAGACCGAAAACTTCAGATAACTTTAAAATTTTGCAAAATCAATAATTCTCTTTTAAATTGTCTGTGTAAAAATATCTCACCACATTCTTTTTAAAAGGTTAAAAATAATTTTCCATATAATGCTAATTAATAAGATATATGAATAAGTAAATTTGGTCTTAAGTCGTAAGTCCTTTTGTAAAACGGGCCCCAGACTACTAAACATAATGCTGTCACAAATATTACGAGTACATTTGAGTTGCAGCCCCAGTCCCTACAGCCTCCCGCAGTAAGAAACTAACCTCGCTGCATTTTAGTACTGGATATCTTGCAATAAGTGTACCCCTGTATTTCGGCAGAGCCACAACCCCCTCCCGCATTAGGAAACTAACCCCGCTGCGTTTTAGCATTTCGAAATGTAAACATAACATTGGGCCGGATGTAAAGATTCTAAATAATACAAGAGGCCCATGGGCCACATCGCTCACCTGAGAAGCTTTGACAATTCTGTACTTTACTAGATTTACTCCTTGTAATACATATTGTGACCCCACCCTACCCCACTGATCATAATTTAGAAATTTGAAATCTACACAGATTTTTCCTATATATTTCTATAAAAAACTTTGATTCCCCATTGTGGCCCCGCCCAATCCCCGGGGGTCTTGATTTGAACAATTTAGAATCTACACTACCCCAGGATGTTTCCACATAAGTTTCAGCTTTTCAGACACAGTGGTTCTTGAGAAGAAAATTTTCAAAGATTTTTCCTATATATTTCTATGAAAAACTTTGATTCCCTATTGTGGCCCCGCCCAATCCCCGTGGGTTATGATTTGAACAATTTAGAATCTACACTACCCCAGGATGCTTCCATATAAGTTTCAGCTTTTCTGGCACAGTGGTTCTTGAGAAGAAGATTTTGAAAGATGTTTCCTATATATTTCTATGTAAAACTTTGATTCCCCATTGTGGACCCGCCCAACCACTGGGGGTCATGATTTGTTTAATTTAAAATTTACACTACCCCAGGATGCTTCCACATAAGTTTCAGCTTTTCTGGCACAGTGGTTCTTGAGAAGAAGATTTTCAAAGATTTTTCCTATATATTTCTATGTAAAACTTTGATTCCACATTGTGGCCCCGCCCAATCCCCGGGGGTCTTGATTTGAACAATTTAGAATCTACACTACCCCAGGATGTTTCCACATAAGTCTCAGCTTTTCAGGCACAGTGGTTCTTGAGGAGAAGATATTCAAAGTTTTTTCCTATATATTTCTATGAAAAACTTTGATTCCCCATTGTGGCCCCGCCCAATCCCCGGGGGTTATGATTTGAACAATTTAGAATCTACACTACCCCAGGATGCTTCCATATAAGTTTCAGCTTTTCTGGCACAGTGGTTCTTGAGAAGAAGATTTTGAAAGATGTTTCCTATATATTTCTATGTAAAACTTTGATTCCCTATTGTGGCCCCGCCCAACCCCTGGGGGTCATGATTTGTATAATTTAGAATCTACACTACCCCAGGATGCTTCCATATAAGTTTCAGCTTTTCTGGCACAGTGGTTCTTGAGAAGAAGATTTTCAAAGATTTTTCCTATATATTTCTATGTAAAACTTTGATTCCCCATTGTGGCCCCGCCCAATCCCCGGGGGTCTTGATTTGAACAATTTAGAATCTACACTACCCCAGGATGTTTCCACATAAGTATCAGCTTTTCAGGCACAGTGGTTCTTGAGAAGAAGATATTCAAAGTTTTTTCATATATATTTCTATAAAAAACTTTGATTCCCTATTGTGGCCCCGCCCAATCCCCGGGGGTTATGATTTGAACAATTTTGAATCTACACTACCCCAGAATGCTTCCACATAAGTTTCAGCTTTTCTGACACAGTGGTTCTTGAGAAGAAGATTTTCAAAGATTTTTCCTATATATTTCTATGTAAAACTTTGATTCCCCATTGTGGCCCCGCCCAATCCCCGGGGTCATAAGTTGAACAATTTAGAATCTACACTACCCCAGGATGCTTCCACATAAGTTTCAGCTTTTCTGGCCCAGTGGTTCTTGAGAAGAAGATTTTTTAATGACCCCACCCTATTTTTGTCTTTTCTTGATTATTTCCCCTTGCGAGGGGATATGTCCCTTCATTTTAACAATTTAAATTCCCCTTCACCCAAGGATGCCTTGTACCAAGTTTGGTCAAAATTGGCCCAGTGGTTCTTGAGAAGAAGTCGAAAATGTGAAAAGTTTACGGACGGACGGACAGACAGACGGACGGACGGACGGACGGAAAGACGACGGACACAATGTGATCAGAAAAGCTCACTTGAGCCTTCGGCTCAGGTGAGCTAAAAAGCTTGTCAGA